TTTGATTGGGCAAAAATAAGGGAGAGGACAATGACCCGGGTTGGTGTGAAAGGGAAAAATTAGTCCTTTACACGTGCCTTTGTGTTATGGTTGATGATGTGGGGACATGTGTTCTGTGTCTATGAAGCAATGAGATGGTGTCCCATTTAATTTTTGAGTGTGCTTATGGCAAGAGGGTGTGGACAGAAGTCGCCCAACTCTTATCCAAACTTGGGGCTAGAAGGGTGCCAAAGAGGTGGTGTGAGAAATGGTCCTGGGTGAGGAGAAAATGTAAAGGAATTAAGGAATAACAAAGCAAGGCACCAAGCATTCTTTTGCTTTCACGGCTGCATATGGCATTGGCAAGAGTGGAACATTGGGGTTTTTTAGGGGGAGCTAAACCACCTAAATTGGTGGTACGATTGGTTAATTATGCTGGACGGAATAGATATATTTATTCTAAAATACAATAAACACCATATTTTAATCATGCAACCTTTTTGACCCATGCTGCCTCTATTCCCATTAATTTCTTCCCAACTCGATCTTTGGCAATCATGTAGTCTTAGATTTAGTCAATCATTCTCATTCACATTAAAGTGATTTCGTTCATATTATTATTTTTTAAACTCTAATTATTTAATTTATTATAAAAAAATCTCTTTATTTTTTTACAAATAAAGTAGGTAAAAAGTATAAATTATTCTTATATTCTTATAATATATTTGAATTAAAAAGAGTGCACGAGCGCAGAGGAAAGTGAAAAAAATTTTCTACTTAATTATTAAAATAATAGGAGGGGATAGGAGAAGAGAGAAGTTATTGGTTTTTTTTTTAATTCATTTATTTATTCAAATAATGATAACGAAGGAGGAGCAACGAATCAAGGGATATTTAATTTTTTTATTTTTTATATTTGTCAATCTAAATATATTATTAAAATAATATAAAAATAAAAGAAAAAATATCTATCATACAAAATGAGTATCAATTTCTTTAATTGAACACGGTTAATAGTATATAAACTATATTTTTATAATTAATTTATATAAAAAAATATAAATAATAATTTTAATTTAATTAATTAATTAATTAAAATTATTTATATGGTGAAAAGCATTAAAATAAAAATCAATTTATATATTTATATATAATTTACTTATAAAAAATATATTAG